AGGAAACCAAAGTGTGAATACACCAAGATCTCTGCCTTACACCTCACCTATGTTTCCTGAGTGAAGAGTGGCTGCTGCAGTCATAGTGGTTAGGATCACTTCACACCCCACATAGGCATATAGTCTGTGTACGCAATTTGGCATAACAAGCAGTCTCCTCGAAAGAGATGGTTAACTATAAGCACAGATTCCATTTCCTCTGCAGCAACAATTCATGTATGGTGCGGAGAAGCACACAGCTGATGTGGTTGCATTCTATTTCACACCAGTAACAAGTGCTGGGTGTCTCCAACTCAGGGTTAAGGTCAGTCAGTGACTTACAGTTTGTCCCATAGCTTCCTCTACTCTCCAGGACCACTGTCTATAGAATGGATAGTTTCAAACACCATCAGTTCTCAGCCCTTTTGGTGGTGATAGGTGCACTTCTACCAATGGAGCTTGCACTGAGAAAATCAAATCCATGTAACGGAATTATAGATCTTGATGGCCAAAAATAATACCTTATTTTGATCCTTGGTGTGAGGTAAATGGATGTAAGGATACAGGTAGCTCCCAGATGTGTGGGATTGTTCCAGGAGGGATGGGGCAGAAATGAAATGATTTAATAACTATTACTGCTTCTAAGTGGAACTTTTTCCTCCCTTGCCCCCTTCTGCTGTGGTCTTCCTCTCAGAGCTCTGCGCACCCCGTCATTTATCCACCTTCCACTCCCAGCTCTGAGACCCTGCTTCCTGGCTACCACCCTTCCAGGTGGGGAGCAATGGACAGTGTCAATCCTTGGATCTCCTCAGTGTAAATCCTTAACCGACTAGCAGAGGCGCTGGTGAGCAATTCTTCCTCCTCCCAGAGGCTAAGCATGTTTTCTCCCTCACTTCTAGCTCTACATGGCCAGCTCTGGTGTATGCCAACGAGGAGCAACTACTGCTCTGTCACATCTGGCCTGAACCTATAAGCCTTGATTCCCCCATCCCACCGCTGCTCAGTAGCATGCCTCTGCACTGCATTCAACTCCATCCTATTTCAGGTGACACTCTTACTCCCATGGCTCACTCATGACCCGCTGTTTCCCCAGAGATACACTATCAATAGCTCTTAAAAACTGTTGGCACTCATAGTAGTGAGTTTCTCACAATTGGGAGGGGTCAAGACCTATTGCAGTGCAGTTTCTTAAGCTTTAAGTCAGCTGCAGTGGAGGTTGCTCAGGGAAGGTATTGCCCACACTGGTGTGATTCAGATACATGAAGATCTTTACTTGCTGGTTCTGATCACACTTTCATGTGCCACCGATGCCTAACCACTTTCAGATGTCACTGACCTCCATTATTCTGGGGGGATTGGTGGTACATATCAAGGAGAAGGTGATGTGTAGAAAACAGAGCCAGGGGGGTGAGTGAGTGGGGTGGGAAGTAACATACTGTCTTCCTTTGCTGGATCTTTTCCTACTACCAAACTGAGTATGCACTAGACTGCAAAACTGACTATGGACTAGACAGTTTTGCTTCATTCTGCAGTGGAGATGACTACAGGAGACATACACACGTTCTACCTCCACCCCACAATCCTCCAAAATTAATGACTTTTAATGATGTGACAGTGAGGATCAGAAATGAGCTAAGAATGCTGTGGAGTGCCTACATGCACTGTGGCTAGCTCACACCAGTGCCATTTCCTCTTAGGATACACTACATTGATTCCCAAATTTAGAAAGTGAAACAGCGATTAAAAACAGGTTAGGAAGTGAGGTGGGCTAAGGCTAAGAATGGGACACTATCACCATCAGTGCTTCTCAGGCCTCCCTCACCACAGCATTTAGGTGCCATTGTCTAAATGTAACAACATCAAGTCCTTCTAGAAAAAGAACCAAGCTCTCCCCCATTCCCTTTGGATAAAAACCGCTTACTTATGCATAGTTGATTCTAGCTGGAGCCTTCCAGGAGAAGGCTAGAACATGGAACTGCACAGATGGAACAGTTATCCACAATAATGGGGACAGGGGGCAGTTCAAAAGCATCCGAGTTAAGAGCACCAGTCCTATTGAAGTTCAATGGGCCTAACTCACTTAGCTGCGTTGGAAAATCCCACCCACTAATATTATGTATGACTATACTAGAGGAGAGCTGTTAATAATTCCCCTATCATGACGCTGTCTGTCCAATCCAAAATCTTATTACTCTAGGCACAAGTAACCATACCAATGACACATGCCAGTCTTGAGGGCCTAACATGCTGGGAAAAGCTCGAGCATGATAACTCATACACTCAGAATGCCCAAATTAGAGGATTACGGGTAGCAGATTTTTAATTGCCTTTATTTATTTTTTTTAAGACACTTTCAGTTGATAGCAAATGAACGAACCAACGTTGTTAGCCTCGGGCTAGATTAGCATGGTAGCTAATGCCCCTACGGATTTGGTTTTGGAAGAGGAAGTGCGTGAAAATGAGACCCTTCCACAGAGTCTTCAAACACTGGTGCGTCAGCCACCCATGGGAATGTTGTATAAAAACCCTGCTCAGCTTGATGGGTCTTTTAATCTTTGCATTTAGCTTTGCGTGATTAAAATAGTTTCACGCTGCCAGCGTTGAATACTGTCTTGAAATCAGGACCTGCTTTTTTGCTCATGAGGTTTTAATCTTACACCTGTTTGCTTTGATTGATGATTTATGTTGCTTTTTACAACCCCCTTATGTTACAGTTTAGAGAGGAAACTGTAACACAGAGAAACCAAATTAATCAGGAGTCTAACTGGTCTTTCTTTTTGGAATTAACTTTCTGCCTTTCTCGGCTTCCCTCTCACAACACCCATTATATCCACTTTCCTCAAGTCTCTGCACTCCTGCCCCAGCTAGTTTGTATCTTCTTCTGACACCCCCTTTTACATAAGCTTTAAAGTAAATAGGCACAGTTTAAAATACCATTGACTGAAAATGCCCTCCCCAGCCCTGCTATCACAACTCTTTCCTAAGATTGGTTCCATTCTCTCTGGTCCTCCATCTTGGGCCAGGTCTACAGTAGGAGTGCTTTGCTGATATAGCTATACTATTCTAGGAGTGCACTCCTTGTATGGATGCAGCTTTTGCCATTATAGCTTATCTCTCACACAAACGGATGCACACAAAATACACTATACTGCCAAAAGGGCAGATATATCAGTAGAACTGCTTCTACACTAAGCATTTTTGCCAGCAAAGCTATGTCAATCACAGCCCTGACTGCCATAGGTATACTAGCAAGGGTTTGCCGTGTAAACCTGGCCTTCCTCTGTCATCCCAGCCAGTTCACCCTTCCTACCCTACTTTAGAGAAAAACAAATCCCATGCTTATGAGGGACAATACCATTGGGTGTCTCTACACTGCAATTAAATGCCCACGGCTGGCCTGTGTCAGCTGATTTGGGACTCAGTCTCTGGGGCTGTAAAATTGCAGTATAGATGCTCAGGCTGGAGCCAGAGCTCTGGGACTTCGCAGGGTGGGTGGGTCTCCAGCCCGAGGCCTAAACATCTACACTGCCATTTTACAGCCCTGCAGCCGACCCAGGCCAGCCTGTTTAATTGCACTGTAGACATACCCATTGAGACCCTAGAGCCTTGTCCCACTTCTTTATTTAACTGAATTGCTTTTGATTTGTTGTTACCACTGCTTATGGCAACACTGCACCGACCTACCCTTTGGGTCACTGTAAATAAATAGATACCAATTCTGCTTCTATGCAATTTCAAGCCAGATAAATGTATACTTATATATTTACAATACAAAAATAAAGAGATGCTAACAGTCTCTATTTGGTCTCCGTGTTAAAGTTAACACCATCTGGATACAGGGGAGAGAACTAGGTCTCTGTGAATAATTGCCAGCCCAGGAGCCAGGTGGTTCAAAGGACAGAGCACTGCTCTTCCTCTGGTAGCACCTAGTACGGGTTCCCTGCTGGAGTTATCAGCTGCTCTGAGTGTGGAGAGATCATCTCAACTGCTATGAATCATTGGGTTTTAGGACACTGAACCAGAGATTTTCATGGGCCAGTACCTATATCCCTGCAGAAGCCATCAGGTTTGGTGTGGGATTAGGGATAGATCCAGTCTGTCTCTGATAGGCAGAGGGATCTAGTTCAAATGGGCCTTTGTATTCCACGTGACTTGGGGGCAGATTTGTAAAGGTACCTAAGCACCTAAAGACAAATATAGGCAGGTAGGATGCCTAAGACCAATGGGACTCAGGCACCTGTGTGCTTTTGGAAGTCCCACTGGGTGCCTAGCTACATCTTCAGGTGCCTACATGCTTTTTAAAATCTGGCCCTGGGCTCCTTGGCCCTGAGCAGGGCAGGATTTCCTCCGTCATCGTCCATGAGTGTCTTCTCAGTGCGTAACTTAAAGATGGCCAGGATCCCAGCCTCCAGGAGCCTAGTGGAGCAACAGGCACGATCTTGAGCCAACCTCAGCTAGTCCACTGGGGACAAGCACCAGGAAATCCTGAAATGCTGCTCCCACCTGCAGTGGAGTTTGGCTGTGCTCCTGTTTTGTGGTGGCAAGAGCTGACCAATGACTACAGTAGCCTGCCTGTAAGTACAAAGCTGTACTGGTTCCCACCGTGCAGAATTTCACTGCTCTCTTCCCTCTATTTGCAACTCCTTGGGCTTCCCCAGTAAAAACAAGGAACACTGGAAGTGGTATGTGCCACCAGGGTCTACAGGAACAGCAGCAAACTCAGGGAGAGAGCTGGCGATTGAGTCTACTCCCACCCCTTATGCTCATTCCAAAATAGCAGGATTCTCTGAGGATGCTATTTCCATATTTCCACCCTACCCTTTCCAGAAGCAACAGGATTTTTGGAGCAGACACAAGTGACTCAATGCCCCTTCCAAAAGTTGATAAAAATAATTAATTGCGAGAAACCATTGACAGACAAGACTCTCCCTTGAGAGACAGTAGGATTCCTTCGTCATACACTTCCCAGTTCCTCCCAAGAAATCTTTCATTGCAAGAGATGGAACATTTTCTAGACTGAGCTCAGTTTAAGTGGAAGTAAATTCAAAATGACAGCACATGATGTGACCAGTTAAGACAGTATTTGTTCTGGTTTCTCTTCTAACCTTCAGGGCTCAAGTCCCATTATATCAAATATGTCTTGGGTATTGGGATGCACTCTTAGAACTCCTACATCAAACACAGTTCTTAGACTATGTAAAGAGCAACAATGAGAACAAAATGCAAACTGTGGTGTGCTGTTGCCCTGCAAAGCCAATATAAAACATTTACCCATCCATCAGCACAGCTACCAAACATTGCCTTACAGGAACTTCAAAGAAGTCCAACAGAAACATTTGGAGAAATAATCTCCTGCAGGGTTTCTCTGTGGAGGAGAGAAAAAGAAATCACAGTTCAAGTATCAAACCATGTTGGATGGCTTTTTTTTCCCCAAACTCATTTATTTGGTAACATACACACCTTGGAATAACAAGTACTCAAACGATACAGTCAGAATGTCAAAAATGACCTTGGTCATAATTGCACTGTAGTGTTCAGAACAGGATGCACTGTAGAGGATACAGGCCATTAGTTCTCAGTATCTTGATAATAACAAACAGTAATAATAATAATACAAAAAATAAGCAAGGGCCCTCTGAATTGTTTAAGGGTTTGGTCCAACTCCCAGTGAAGTCTTTCCATTTACTTCAACAGGAATTGGATCAGACCCAAAGTGACTTCTTCCCTCTGTATATCATCATAAAAGGGATTTCAATTTAAATTTCTTGGGCTGAGTTTCATCTGAACTTGCATCCTTAAGGGATGGACAAAAATCAGTTATTTTTAATTCAGTTTAACTATTTCTTTGCATTTCTCTATACTGCATCTTTCCTCCAACGATCTCAAAGCACCCTACGAACAATAATTAATGAAGCCTCACAACATCCCTGTGAGGTAGGTAAGTATTATTGTTCCCATTTTACAGATGGGAAAACTGAGGCATAGGAAGTTTGCCCATGACCACAAAGCAAGTCAGTGGCAGAGATAGGAAACAGTCTAGGAGTCCTGGCTCCCAGTTCCATGTTCTAACTGCTGTACAAAACTCCCTCCCCTTTCTTCTTTCATATAACTGACTCCACAGCTGTCTACCAGCAAGTAGGAGTTGGATTGTAGCTTCTTCCAAACTAGTTCTGGTATAGGCCAAAAAGCCACTTCAAAACAACTTTGCTACAATTGTCATTTTGAAATGGACAGAGTTTCACAGCTCGATGTCTCTTGTAATAAAGCTTTTCCTTCTGCTGTCCTTTCCAACAAGTGCACAGGAATGGATCCCTTTCCATGACAGAGCACTTTCCCCTGAGATTGTCTACTGCAAAATACCTTTTCAAATGACAGCACTGCTGTTTTTGGAGCTATTGCTTCCGTGTTGCCTCCAACTTCCATTTGGAACTGTAGAACTAAACAGATTTGACATGAGTCCTAGATAGATCTTGGTTTCTAAATTCTGCTCAAAGGAAATTCATCACCAATTTTTCCCTAGAGCATGAGGTTGCATAGGTGCAAAATGCTGGCATATGTACTCACGAAAGAAAGAAATTTAACTCTCACTGCCAATTAAAACTAGACAGGACAAAGTGTTATTAAATGAACCTTAAGTAATAATTTTGCACTTGCAGGGAGAATTGCTGCATTACCATCTCTAACTTCTGTGATTTTATTATTTTTGTCCCTGGCAGGAGTGCCTGAAATAACAATCACATGATGAAAACCAGGGGTTTTCTCATCTAATTATCCCCTGTAAGAACTCAGATTCAAACTGTAAAGAACAATTTGTGTTTCCTAGTCTATTTTAACCCGTTCTCTTGAATCATTGCAAGCAGGGTTGTTTTTATTAGGGCTATGGGAAAGTAGGAAAACATTTTCACCATATTTTTGGCAAATTTCACTGCAGGTCATTTTGCTATCTTAAAATATTTCACAACCTAGGGACATTTGGAATAAAACCATGCATGCTTTCTATGAAAGACTGCATTCACTTGAAAAGGGGCCTACATTTTCTGTAAGTCATGTCCTATTTCAAGCGAACTTGTACCTTTTTCAGCTCAAAAACAGGACCATTTTCACTGAATATAAACCCCAAAAGATTCACAAACATAGGGAAAGTTTTGAATTTTCAACTAAATATAAAAACAAATTTCAGATTTTGAGCAATTTCAGTTTTGGTGTAAAATACTCACACTGCTCTATTTCAATTGCTTCCCCAGTAGTACCTTGGATAACTGATCTTCTAGGTCACTGTTGGCATGGCAGCACTATTAACATCAATGCTTTCTTTAATGTAGATGAAAAATAACTGAGGTTATTAAACTTGACTGGGCTCCAACTTCATTCCAGTAAATGAACCAAAGTGGCTTCCTTGAGAAGTTATCCTAGGCTCCTCAACCCTTAATACAACCATTACATCATGTACATTTAGCTCCAAACAAGAATTGTACAGTCTCCTTTACCTCATTTTGCAGTGATCATTGGTGTAGTGATTCCTGACAGAAGCAAGGAACTACTTTCAGTTATTCCAAAATTTCTGAAGTTTCTTTTGACTACAGTTGTATTGGCAAAAGAGAGTGATTTCTGATCAACTGATGTTGCTTAAACAACTTTTAACTTCTAAAGAAAGTGATTTTAATGACTATATGGTCTTGTTACATGGCAGATGGCTCCAACTTGGAAACTGCACTGTCAGATATCTGGATATGGGATGAGCACAGAAATATTAATTTGTATTGTGGTAGCACCTAGAGGCCCCAATCAGGGTATATGGCACAGCAATCAGACCTCTAGTCTAGTAATGTAATATCTTGCTTTCAAAAGTGGTGAATACCTCATGCTTCCAAGGAAGAATGCCCATAACAGATATAGCCAACAGTGTAATGATGTTTATGGGGATACAATTCCTTTCTGATCCACTCAGCTTATGCCCTGACACTTTCGGTGTGGCAAAAGAATGAACATGGCACCACCAGGAAATCTGACCCACAAGCAAAAAGATGGAGAGTCTAAGCCTTGGTGTAAAGTGGCATGTTTATAACTGGCTTGCTAGTATTTAGATAGATTTGGTTTTTTCTCTAAAATAACTAAGCCCTTGAAAAATTAATTTTGCCCCCCAACCCACCTGCTAAAGAGAGATGCCATTGACCTTTCACAAATGCTGTCCAGCTGCAAGAGCCAGCATTACCACTTCACCAGCCTCTCCAATATCATACACAGTTTGAAAGTCACACAGTGCCAGAGACAACCTGGTGCTATTTACTTAATGGGCTACCTGTGACCTCATTAGGAACTACCTGGAAATAGTTAAGAATGTTCTTAGATAGAAAAGAGGATAGGCCAGGGCAGGGAGTAAGAGAAAAGGTCAACAGCAGCTGTCCCTTGCAGACACTAAACCAACCACTGCCATGAACTATAATCACCCTTCTCCCCATGTTTTCTGGGCCTCATTCCTGGAGGATTTCCCATCTTGCACACACTTGTAATGTAATACAACAGCTGGGGCGGGCCTTGCCTAATCTATAACATAAATGGCAGCCTAGTGACTTGGGGTTAGGGAGCAAACACTCCTGCTGTTTTCAAAGCAATGCCATCCAGTGGAGAATTCTGCTCAACCCTCCCCATAACCTCAAGCAATCTGCCATTTACTCTGGTTCACTAACAGGTAATCTAGAGTCACTTTGGTTCATCTGAAATCAGAGTCACTCTGATTTACTGTACAAACCTCCTGGATTCATGCTGGTTTGGTTCCTGAGTTTGGAGACCCTGATTCACGGAGGACCAATCCGAAGTTAATTTGATTCACTAACGACCAATCCTGAGTCACTCTGGTTCATGGAAGGCCAATGCAGTCACTTTCATCATGAACAGTCTGGGTCTGAAAGCAGCACCATTTTCACTGCAATAACCCCAGGAGTTTGGAGAGACTTAAAGGAGTTTTACCTCTAATGGAGAGGTCCTAGTAGAGTAGAAGGTTACAAAGCAGCCCCATGAGTTTGTGTGAGTCTCTTCTCATCTTTCAGTGATGCTGTCCAAGATACTAATCAAATTGTCCAATCCCAGCAGGTACCCATCCTCCCGGTTGCCTTCCTGCCAGGGGATCCTGTGGTCCAAGGTCTGCCCATCAGGGAGAAGCGTGGTCTTTCCAAAATCAATCAGCCATACATTGGCATGTCCGCTGTCATCATGCACAAAGAGTAGTGAACTTCCAATGACCTGCAGGGTAGTGATTGGTGATGATATGCACAAGTGTTATTAATGTCTCCCTGACCCTCCCACCTCCTTGCCCCATAGGCAAGGCCCCATCAACTATACCTGTACAGACAAATGACGACTGCTGAGCTGCAAAGCCTATACAATGACAAGCAGTATGCCAGCTGCTCATTGTACCCTGACTGCACTGTACTGATATAGGGGCACCGCGGGACAGGACTCCAGCAGAGAGGGAACAGAGGTGAATCTTTAGCTCACTGACAATGTATCTGGGTTATTTGGGAGGGAACAAGATGCCTGGAGAGAGATCATGGCCCAAACCAATTATTGATTTACAAAAATCCTGCCAGCGGCTAAGGGGGAATTACTGCCAACAGTGTAAAATAAATGGCCAGATCTCAAAGCTTCAAACAAACACACAGTCTGCTAAGGACTGTTGCGCTTGTCAGAGTGATCACAGATGACAGCCTCGCACCTGGCGTAGTACAGTGAAGTTCCTAGATCTGGCTCAACTCTCCATACCCACAAATCTCATAGCCTGCAGTGTAGTAAATACACCAATAATGCTGTGTAGCTACCAGTGACATCTTCTCTACAACCGTGCCTGGTAGGGGAAACTAGGGAACTAATTTACACTGGTGTAAATCAGGAAGAACTCCACTGAAGTTGTTAGTCTAAAATCAGAATCAGGTTCTGCCACCGACCAAATGAGAGACCTCACAGCACCAGCACCCCTAGCCCGACTCCTTCGGGAACCAACCAGGAGTGGACTAGCTGTGAGAAGCTAGCACAAACCATTCCTAACAGGGAACTCCTGCTGTGATGTTAACACGTATTAGTTCTCTGCTCTGCGGTACTCTCCTCGAGCCCCTCTCTCGCCAATAGGGTAGTCTAAAAGCTTATCTGAATGGCAAGCTGAGGCAGCAAGGAGTCCCCACACAGGCAACGCTGCCCCCCACCCCTACGCACTCACCCACAGCTCACCTCATGTCGTTTAAAGAAGTCTGAGGACTCGAGGATGAGGTGGATATCATGCAGACGCCTGAGGTATTTTTTCTGAAATGGGGGGGGAAAAATCCATGCACATTTTAAGGTCACTTTGGGGAGGGAAAACAAATAATAAGAGGAAGTGAAATCAATCTCTGGTGCAACTTCACTGACATCAATGGTCTTACGCCAGGGATAAATTTGCCACAAGGTTGTCACTCAATACATGCCCCTACAAAGGCTCACAATCACCAGTCTGTAGGCAGGAGAGGGGGATACTTGACTTGCAATGGTCGTTATAATGGGGAGATGCTCTTCATTCTAGGACACACCCTTTAGGCTCATATAGCCCAAAACCTGTTCTAAAAACTATATTTCAGAAACCTGCTTTTTCTCAAACCAACACAGTAGGGTGGCATGAGGCAAGGACTTATGTGAACTAGCTTCACACATCCCAACAAACTCAGACTCCTAGCTCTGGAAGCAGTGGTGTGTCACCTGGCTGCAGAACCAGGATCTTAAGGCTTCAGCATCCCTCATTTTAGCCAGAGGAACGGATATGTTCTGAAAATCCCTCTCTCCCCCCACAATGAGAAGTCTATTTTGTTAGGAGAGGGAGAATGTGGGCCAATTTGGGGCCTGTCAAACTGTTTTCCCACTGCCCAGCACTTTTGATAACGTGGGGTGAAAATGCTCCTCAAATGCTACCCTGTGTTACCTGGTACATTTGAAGTGCTGGTGTTCCACTGAAGCGGCCTATGTGTGTGACAGTGGAATGAGACAGCAGCCTTTGAGGTCATGACACATATTATATCCTGCCCATTGAGGCCACAGCACAGGCCAGCAGGGAAGGAGTTAATATTATCCATTCAAAGACCAGGGTGTGGGAGTACAGAAGTTGCTTTTCAAAGTTTCACACATGGCAGCACAATGCACCACCAATCTCCCTCCTGCTCCCACTTCCTGGCTTTGTCTTCACTAGATTAAATTTGTGAATCACAAGTTTTCTTGTTAACACACCTTGTGTTCAGACACCAATGCCACAGTCATGACACATCACGAGGCAGTCACTGCACTCTGAGGCAAAGGGCAAACCACTTGTTAGCTTGTCTCACTTTTTGCTAACTCAAGGTGTCTGCAGTGAAAAAACACTGTCACAACCAAATCACAATCACCAATGGATGATGATCTGCCAGCCCCTATCCGTAACCCACTCCTTTCATCCAACCACTCCCACCCTCTGGATTTTCTTCTTTGGAAGTTTCTGGTCACATGTCACAAAGGGGTCTGAAAGAACCAGAGACTAGTACCGCTCAAGACTCACCAGAATAGTTGTGTTGCCCTCAATGAATTCCATAAAAACCTGGAAAACTTGCTCCCGTGTCTTAGTTGTTTTGAAGTTTGTGTTACATGTCCCATCAACCCTCTGCACACAAACACAGAGAGAAAGAGAGAGAAGGGTTTATATCATATATAATTCAGCCAATCAGTAAACCTTCCTGAATCATCAACAGCTCAGTCTATCTGTCATTAATCAATAGAAGAGGGTGGCTGGGAAGAGATGATAAATCAAGCAAGAGCTGAAGAGGAAGAGAGTGAAAGACAGAATACCTTTGAATAACACTTGGTTTCCTGTTGACTGCACTTTCAAAAGACCTCTCGGATATTGTTAGCCTGTGGGAGGGTTTCCCTCTCACCTCACAAGGGACTGCAACTTGCTAAGTGTAGTGGGTCAACCACAGGGTGCTCTTTGGCTGCACTCTCTTCTAGACTGACAGGTATCCCCCCAGGGTTGTGTGTGGGAGGGGATATTCTGTGGTCTCTCAAACCCAGTTTGTGTTAATTCACCTCTCTTTCAGTGGTGAAACCACAGGGCTCTGGGTGGGACTCTTAATCCATGATAAAATATCTTTTCATATTAGCATGTTCTAAGTCACAGAAAAGAAAGTTATTTGCTGATCATAAAAACTTGGTATTTTCAACAACATGGCTGTGTTGTACAAGCATGCGTGCCAATGTACAAAGTATGTAAGTAAATTTACAAGGGAAAAATGTGTGTGGGAGCATGTATTTAATTGCATCTAGAAGAAAGTTTAGAGTATCTGTGTATTTGTAATGCAACTACACATGGCAATGGGATGCAGATACGTGTGTCTGTAGTTATCAGCTTGTGTCTGTGAGGTTGTATGTGTATGAGATGAGTGTGTGAATCTGGGCACATCTGTCAACATGCACTCTGGGTGACCTTCTGAATGTCACCATGTCTTGTGGTAAACCCAAGACAAACAGCTACAAAGGGTGGGGGGGGAAGGATGTAGTAATTAGTCCCAAGGGGTTAAAGGGCTCTCCCTATCCACTGAGGAGAGATAACCATGGACCACCCAATAAGGTTCAGCTGGAAAAGGGGTTGCTAGGGAACCAATTAGGTTCAGCTGACTCCAGCTACTTGAGACCCTTTTAAACCCTCCCCTGCATGGAAGGAGTGGGGGAGTGAGAGGAGCAGGGAATACTGAACCCGGCCCTTGTTGCTGCCAACTCTGACAGGCAGAAGGGTTACAATCATATAAGAAAGTTAACTGACTGCATGGCAAAACTAGTCATAACACCCTCCCACTTCACAGACTATTTTACAGCAGAATAAACTGCTTTTACTCCAAGACTGTGGGCCACATTTGAATGCGGTGGTGTAAGGCCGATGAAGCATGTGCAAGTTATGCAATTGAAGTGCAGTAAGTAGGCAGGGGAATTGAGGAGCAATCTGAAGTGCTGTACAGTGGCACACCAATGTGTACGGAGGAGTTTGGAATGTCAATCTGCTGTCTAAATGGCATGCTAGCTGTACGTGTCTGTATTCCAGTGACACCAGCAAAATACCAACGGGAGGACACTTGTTCTGAAAACGTATCCCACAAGATTTTAATACTCTAACAAAGCTTTGCATGGCTGCTGTGTTCTAGCCAGGTAACACTTTTTTATTTTAATTTGTGGTTGCACAAGGCGTTTGCTCCCTTATCTTTCAGAAGTGCCTTCATGATTTTGTTACCCTACAGTGGCTAGTTGGGAAATACCAGGCATGCTTGCTGCCTTTATGCTCCCATTAAACACACATCCAACTCTGAGCTATACCATCCCTTCCATTCTAGATCATCTGGCTTGTGCCTTAATCCAAAGAGCAGCTGGCATGGCCATGCTCAAACCACATCTGTCTTCCCTGAAGCCATGCCTCTGTCAATCACTCCATCAGTCCCTTACCATACCTCCAGTGTAAGGGCTTCTCTACATGGGGGTTACTGCACGACAAGCCAGGGTGTGAATCTATAGCACACAAAGCCTTGAGACCCCATTCAAGTGCCCTCCATACACTGTACACCTCCCCAGCTGCTGTGCCACTCTTTGCACCTTCCACCTCCCGAGCCAGTGCCATTGCTGACCAGGCATGCCAGGGGGAGCAGATTTTGCCACCCTATGGGATGGTGCTGCTTGGACTCTCTTCCTCCAGTGGGGGAGGTGCAGTTCTGCATTGCTCCTGCTACAGTGTTTTGGCTACATGCCACAATCTAGCCCTAAAACAATATATTACTATTTTATTATTATATTATGCCTTCCAGGCAAGGATCTAAATCGCTTTACAAATATTAATGCATTACAATCTCACAGCGCCCAGGGAGGAAGAGAAGTATGGTCATCCTCATGTAATAACTGCAGAAACTGAGAGGTTAAGGGACTTTCAATATTGCAAAGCGGGTCAGTGACACTGAGAAATACAACCCAGAGCTCCCGATTCCTAGCCCTATACTTTAGCCAGATGACCATCCTTTCACAAGGAGACACAGTCTGATAGACTCCATTGGCGTTTGCACTAATGGAGCCATCAGCCCTGCAATTGATTACATTGTTCAGATGGTCACTTGGAGAGAATATTCTTGCTTCTGAGGCTTGCAGGCACACAGATCAAGTGCCTTGTGCTCTAAGACAACCCAAAAGGCTCCACTTATCTTTCCTGCCTCTTGCATTAGAGACAAGTCCAATACTGCAGTGAGAGTTAATAAAGGGCTAAATAAATCTTGACTTATTTCAGGGATATGGACATGATGTAGGAAAAGAAGATGCTGCAGGATGGATTAACCACAAGAGAAAGTACCCAGTTCAGCAGGAAGGAACACACGTAGTGAATAAAATCTCATTTGGGGACCACTTCACCAAAGGGCCTTGATGATTTCACTCTCGTTGGTTTTCAAATGAATGGGTGATTGTCTCTCACCAACCACTAGATGGCATCACTGGTTCTCCCTACACATACATACCAGCTCACCTTTCAAAATGGGGACCTCTGAGTTTCACAGCATGACTGCTCCCTAATTTGAAAACAGAACTGGGATGTCATGAGATATAACTGTGCTCCATATGACAAAGTTGTTGTTCTGTAACATATGTATGTAAACAGACAACAATGACAAGAGGTTAGGCTGCTGGTAGTTGGGTGGCCTGTGTTCCAAATATTGACTTGCTGTGGAGCCTGCACAACACATCAAACCTCTCTGCCTCAGTTTCCCTAATTGTAAAATAGGGATAATACCACCCAGCTAACTGCCTCATAGGGGTGTTGTGAAGATAAAAGTAATGCCTGTGGAGCTTTTCGAATATTTCATGCATGATTTAAATGCTAAATACTGTGGCCCAGATTGTGCCATTCTGGTACTGTCCCACACCAGGAGAAACTCCAGACGACATTGTGCGGTGGCCCTTAGGGCGGTACATCATACATGCTCAGCCAGCCAGATCTGGAAGAACCTGCTCCAGGGTACACACTATGATTGAGCGTTTCCTGTGCACGAAAGAGAAAGGCTCCTTGCTCTCTCTCCCAGTCTCGCACAAAAGCCCAGAGTAATCTGCCCCTATGAGTCATCTGCAGTGACTAGGATGCATTGGAATGTCTGCAGAGAGCACAGGTATGGAGTGTTGATTCCATCACAGAGAAGAACTAAAGACAAACTGGATACTATTAATTTAGGCTTAAATAGAGACTGGGAGTGGCTAAGTCATTATGCAAGGTAGCCTATTTCCCCTTGTTTTTTCCTAACCCCCCCCCCCGACGTTCTGGTTAAACTTGGATTTAAACTTGGAGAGTGGTCAGTTTGGATGAGCTATTGCCAGCAGGAGAGTGAGTGAGTGAGTGAGTGTGTGTGTGTGTGTGTGTGTGTGTTTGGTGAGAAATCCTGGATTTGTGCTGGAAATGGCCCACCTTGATTACCATGCACATTGTAGGGAGAATGGTCACTTTGGATGAGCTATTACCAGCAGGAGAGTGAGTTTGTGTGTGTATGGGGGTGGGGGGGTGAGAAAACCTGGATTTGTGCTGGAAATGGCCCAACTTGATGATCACTTTAGATAAGCTATTACCAGCAGGACAGTGGGGTGGGAGGAGGTATTGTTTCATGGTCTCTGTGTGTATATAATGTCTTCTGCAGTTTCCACGGTATGCATCCGATGAAGTGAGCTGTAGCTCACGAAAGCTCATGCTCAAATAAATTGGTTAGTCTCTAAGGTGCCACAAGTACTCCTTTTCTTTTTGTAAAGACTAGACAATTAGCCTGGCAACATTACTGGATGGCTAATGGGCTAGTGAGGAAGAGCCAAAACCCACCAGAAGTGCCCAGGAGTAGACATAAGGCCTGAAAGTTTCCACTAGCAGCTGACTGCAGAGTTTGCTTGACAGGAGCCTGCGTCAAGAAGTACCCATCACCCAGTTTGTTTTTGAGAAAGGGTGCTCAGTCCCTGCAGGTCAGGGCTGTGGGGAGCAGTGTGGAGAAGGCCAGCACTGTGTGAGCTTGGATACCTCATTCATCCTATAACGCTAGGAGAGACCATCAACGAAAAAGGGAAAAAGCAGCCTAGGGAAACAGAGAAAAGGGGATAGTTAAGAGAGACTTTGCTGCTACCCCTATACCTATCTCATTCACCTGGGCTTCAAACATGGAACTGTATTTTAGACCAGAAACCCCAGCTCTGTTATCTGACCCTGTACATGTCAACAGTCTGCCAGAGAGCTGAAACATGCTCTGGTAAAAATCCTGAAGTCAAACAGAGCAACTCTGGTAACTAACCCCTTATATGCAGTCAGCATCCCATAATGGACACTCACGTTACCTTATCACTTTAAAAACAAAATAACACTAGCGCTTTCACAAGGAGCTGGATTGAGTCTCCAGGGCCCCCTCAGAAGAAATGCCATCCCAGACCACACCTGTCCATACGAAAGAAGTCAAACTAGGCCAGACAAGACCAGACCAACCTTGGGAAGAAAAGCCAAATCTACACCAGCTGGGCGGAGAAGCCAGCAGAGGCCTACCTATGGGCCAACCCTCAAGCAACCCCGACAGCTATCTCCAGTATCTGAAGGTGAGGCTGGAGCCCTGTATTTTCCAGGTGGTTACCCATGAGACTCTGAGGTGGTATTTGCCCAAGTGACGTACGCCCTCAGGGTATGGTGAAGATCGTTGGAAGTTTTCTGCAACACTGAAGTAACATCATGAGATGTAAGGACCAACCCCTTCTTGCCTGAGAAGGACTGGAAGGGGGATTATAGCTGAAGTCTGAACATTTGGGGTTCTGGGTCTATTGTGATTCCCCTTCCCCCCATACTGGATATCTGCACAAAGTGAAAGTGATTTGCCTAGATACTGGGACTGCTACATGATGTTTCCACATTGCTTCAGAAGTGTGCAGGGTTGGAATAAATCTGTTTTACTTCAATTCACTCAGAATAAATCTGTGCGCTCCCAGGATGGCTACTGGGTAAAGGTCATGGCTGTGAGTAGGAGGAGGGGATTATTCCACCAGTTCAGAATTTCCCCTTATATCAGTTTCACTTTCTTTCTGTCTACACCATGATGTAGCTATTTGGTTCTTTTCTCAATGTTCCTGCTGTTGTTCTCAGAGCAGTCAGTGTGTGTTCGATGGGTTTCACATATTTCTTGCTTCACAATGCTTTTCTCATCGTTGCCATAGAAGCTCTAGTCACAATCAAACAGACCATGCAGCTCCAGGTAGGAAGTCACACTGTCTTTTTGGAAACCGGGCTGATGATGACGACAAGTTGATCAACCAACAAATCGGGCAAAGGAGTGAGTCTACTCAACAGGAAAGGACAGCAGTGGAAGTCGCTCACCTTAATCCCTTCTATCCTGAAGCCCAAGTTGGCACTGGAGCTGATGGTCTCTCTCCACTGCATGTAACGTGGCTTGGTCACCGCATGCTGCGTGTTCTCCTCAGCTGTGGGCGCAAGAGGATCCACCTCAATCATCTTCTTGTACATGTCCTTACGCAGCTTTGGCTTCTCACGGGCTTTAGTCAGCTCCTCCTCCAGGTACGTCCTGCAAAAACATCACAACCCAACAAGACAGTGAGAACCCCCTTGGAATCTGAAACAATACCACCACCTTGCATTTCACTGTCATCTTCCAGCATGGGATCTCAAAGCACTTTACAAACTTTAAGCCTCATGCATTACACACCAGTGAGGAAACTAATTATCACCACCACCCCTATTTTACAGATGGGGAAACTGAAAAACAGGGACAAAGTTCTTGCCCAAAGTTACTTAATGAGTCAGTGGCAGAACCCAGGACTTCTGACTCTCCATCTTTGCTCTAATTACATCCTTACCTATAACTAAATCCTACAGCCCTCCCCTAGTTATAGTGCTTGGAAGAAACACTGGATTCCCATTAAGAAAAGGAGTACTTGTGGCACCTTAGAGACTAACCAATTTATTTGAGCATAAGCTTTCGTGAGCTACCGCTCACTTCATTGGATTCCCATTCTGCACCATGACAAAGGAAAGCAAAGTTCAAATAGACCAGTGGTAGTAAACCCAAGACTGAATGAGCCTGATGGAGACTGAACACCTCTCTCAGCTCAAGAGAAAGGAAAAACTAACTCCAGGCATGGCTACTTTTAGAGGCCCCTGAAGCCTTGTGAGGCTACATACGCCAAGCATCGCACAGAAAGGGACAGAAAATAACCCTGCAGCTGATTAAAAAAAGAAACGAGTAAAGGAAATTATCTGCTGGACCAGAGCTCATAGCAAAGGATGGCCCAGGGTCAGATTGAGGGGGAGGAGGGGAAAGCTCTGCCCATGTGAGTTGCCAGTCACTGTCGATTGTGCAGTTATTCAAAATAGAATTGTGCATGCCCTCTGAGCTCCACTGGGCTGCTTGATCTAGGCTCTCCCTCAGTGGGGCTTGAATATACCCATGGACTCTTCTAGGCTCTTTGACTAGGGAGCAATAAGTGGTAGCATCTCCCAAACGCCATCCACGTGGGTCACTAAAATGACAGTCACTCAGGCTATGTCTTCACTGCGCAGTTAGCCCAGGCAATTGGCACCCCAGTCTGAGAACCCGGGTTAGCCTCCCCGTCATGAGAGCGTTCTTAGAGCAGAGCCCTTCCCATGTTACTGCATCCTCAGGAGTTTCTGCGCTTACCCAGGTGTGTCTGGGGGCATATCCCATGGTTCTTTGTGAGGAGATGCTTTAGGATTCTTTCCCAGTCACTTGTCAATTGGAGGAGAATCCGTCTCTCCTGCGGGGGCAGGGACCCTGGGAAGGCACTAGAGGGACCATCAGCACTCAGAAAGAAAAGGGGTACTTGTGGCACCTTAGAGACTAAAATTTATTTGAGCATAAGCTTTCGTGAGCTACAGCTCTGAAACCTGTCATCAGCACTCAGGGGATTTAGCTGGCATCCTCACTGCAAAGCAGGCGGATTCCAGCCCAAGATAAAGTGGAGCTTAAGATTTTAACCCGCCCACCCAGCCAAGTAAACTACATGAGCTTAAAGCACCTCCAACCCTAAATTTGCTGGGTTTACTGTGTAAATGGGAGCGGGGGGTTGGCCTAAGACCTGAGATAAAAGCCTAAACTAATTGTGCAGTGAAGACCTTCAGAGTAAACTGTGCAGAGCTGGGCACAATTTCTGTCCTTTCTGTCTACACTAGACTTTTTTTTACCTTGAGTTAACTGACTGACAGTTTACATGAGGTACTTAACATGCTTTTTGTGGCTCATGTGGACACTCCCTCTGCATTAAGAACTTGAGTTCACTGACAATTAACTCCAGGTAAAGAAGTCTAGTGAAAGGAATGAAATAAGGAACAAATGTTGACATTTACATTATCATCCGAGTCACCCGCTCACTGAGATGCATGGGGCAGTTCACATTTCTCAGAGTCATTGTTCCAGGCTCTCTGCAGACTCATCTATTTATTGGTGAGGCTTGGTTCACATTTTTTGAGGGTTTTTTTCACAGCCACAACAACTAGACACTTTAAAATGCAAGCGGAGATTCTGGAGAACGAGATAACGGAAACACAGAGGTGGTTCCCAGTCCTGTTCTCCCAGGCAGGAATAGCTGCACTCCCAGGACTCACTGACAGCTTTGGAGAGGAGATGTCAGGTTACAGTTCAGTTATCCATGTTTGGGGAAGGGAATTTGACTCTTAATTTTTGAGCGATATTTTTTCTCTCAGAATGGTTAATAAACTGGCCATAAGTGAGCTATGTTGCTTGGGTTGCTTTTTTCTTCTTCTTTACTCTCCCTAAGTCAAGTCCTGTCAGGCAGGTGCAAAGTAAGCTCACATCAATCTGCCCCAATAAATAAGTCAGCCTTGTCCAAGATAGCATCTAAGGAAGAGAAAGAGGTCAGTGTCCAGAGGCTAGGTAAGTCACACTACTCCAGGAATGACCCCACCCTTGACCTGGGTAGGGCCACCCTATGTAAGGAATCATCCTCCCTATAAGCTTCAGGATATCTTCCAAGCAGAGATTTCCCACTGCGCCAACATCCATGTGAGGTGTTTTGGGAGTGAGACCAACTAACTCATGTCACTAGTAGGACCACTGCCCAGGCTTCAACCTGAGTCCCCAGAAATGAGTGCTTCATCCATCAGGCACATCATCACCCCCAGCCCACCCATTCCCCAAATTAACAACATGTACTGTATGTAGAAAGCAGGATCCTTTTCACGTATCCCACCTGATCCCCATCTTACAGTCCATGACACAAGGCCCTTCAAAGTCAGTGAGCAAGTCATCGAGTTGAATGTATTTCTCGCCATCTCTCTCTACCACCCCATGGAAGGCAGGGACACAGGAGCGCAGGGGATCTTTCATCAGCAGCTCAAAGCACTCCTTTTCATTGTCAGAGAAGCGCTTCAGAATCGTACCGCTGTCAGCTGCCTTGAAACTCCCTGCAAAAATCGACACATGCTGATAAGGCCAGTCTTTGTAAGAGGGAAACACCTGCACTCCCTCTTCACCCACTTCACTCTTGTGCACCAGATAAAGAGTTCCCCTGAACAGAAAAGATAACACACTCCTTGTAAAAAATAAAAGCACAGAATGCAAACACAGCCATTGGCTGTGAAAGTCCATTTGGACAAGTTCCCATACAGGAATTTATTGCTCCAAGGAGTATGGCTGTGCCAAACCAGGTTTTTTCCATGCTAAAGTAGTCATAAGAGAATTAACATATCTAGCTGCGCTAAAACCCACGGGAAATATAATGGGCCAGACTGCATTAAGATGCTGACAGCCAGGCTCTTTTTAAAGCTATCCAATATTTCCAGTGTGGGCTGTGCTCCTGAATCCAGCCCAAAGTCGTACCTGCAGTGCTTGTGAGTCGCAGGGTGGGGATCAGTTCCTAATCATTAAACAACAGCAATCCACATTCAGGAGCCAAACACTGCCTCCTTAATACATACACCCCCAACACATACACCTCCAGGTACTGCAACTCCTTTGGAGCTTTGCTAATCTATGCAAACAGGTGCAAAGTGTAGCTTAATTGTTTTACAATGCTAGATTTGCATGGTATACAGTGTAAACGACACAGTGCTTTCAGGCACAAACTGGAAGTGATTAGACTACAGCAGAGGAAGCCGTGCCCCAGTCCTGCAGAATGGTAATAACATCAGAGGAGAGAGATACGTGTTAGTCCACATGGCCTGAAACAAACTCAGGCCCGAAAGTCAGAGCGGGTGTTAAGCTTCTGCCTCACTTTCAGCCTTTATCACAACATGACCCTGCACATTCAGCCATTACATCTGGTCCTTCTCCAATGTGCCCCAGAATCCTTTGCACCAGGTATCAGTGCATCAGAGACACGGTGCCAGGGCTAATGCTGACCAGCGTTACAGTTAATGGAGAACTCCTGGAATCAGAGAAGACTAGCTGCAAGTGATGGGTCAAATCCACTTCCAGAAACCCAGATACAAGGGAACTGGAGCAGATTCATGATCCCTGCTCCTTCTCCAGACAAGTGCTGGCCACCGCTAGAATGGCTCCTCCCACCCCCGCCGCATCCAGATTGCTAACCGCTGTGCTAGCGTTTTAGGAGTAGGGGACATGTAGGAATCAACTGAAACAAGAGAGAAGCAAATCTGATGGCACCTCCTTGTATTTTGACTTATGAATAACCTAAAACTTGACCTAGGGGCACTTCTGTTAAGTACTACAGACACCAAAGTAGACTCAAGCTGCCTGAGCAGGCCCTCGTCTGCTCCCCCCAAACTTGCACAGATGCATGAATAACAGACTTTCAACACAAACACCCACATGCTGGGCTTTTCTTTCCCACCTGGTTCATTTTCCTCTTGAGGTGTTAGATTCAGATGAGGTTTTGGGATGGATTTAGAAATGCACTCATCATTTTGGCTGAAACATACACGCACATGGACACACAACCCCCAGGTAAGATTGGGAGAGGCTGCTAATGGGTGCACTGGTTACTCACTTTAGGAAAAAGATTCTGCTGTCTCATTCCTCATCGACCCGGGAGGCAGCAGGGCTCCGATTTCCCCACCCAATCTCTTGCTGGTTCTTCCCCAATACAGATTTCCCCCATACCACCTTGTAAGGAGTGCTTTATGTGGCCACTTCTTTCAGCCTGACAGACATTTTCCCCAAACTACTGCCTTGCTCTCCTCCCGTCCTAAGGTCTGACACCGCCCACCTGAAAACAGATTCTTCTACTCTGCAGAGGTATGTGGTGTCCAGATACGGCTGGCTTTCCCTGAACTGAACCAACTACCACATTACCCCACCATGACCAAAAGGAAGAGCCTCTGCACAAAATCCCCATTCAAACCAACAGAGGCTTCAGGAAGATTTGAAATCAGGCTACTGCCTGACATCCTCCTGGTTCCAGAGCCAAAAGATCTGAAATTGCACCTCTCACCTGTGTGCCCAGCCAGCTGCACCCATGAATAGCGCTTCTTGAAGGGGCTGATGACTGGCAAGTTGACCATCGTTTTAATTGTATGCCATGATTTTTTCTGTAATACAGAGGAGAAAAACAATTAAACAGGGCAACCTCTGAAATGCCACCATACCTGTGATGTGCCAAGCACTCTGACACGTGTCCACTCAGCTCCACTGCCCCCTGCCTGCACTATAAATGCCATAAATGCCCATGGGAGAGCTGGCACTACATCCAACATGATCACCGCTGAAGAGATGGACGTCAAGCTGCGTGGGCTATTAAAGATACTTGATTAACTTTAAAAATAAAGAAAAAATGCCCCAAAAAACCCTGCCAGCCATAAGAAAACAGCCAGCAGGAAATTTAAAAGTGGCACTTTGTGATGCACATGGCATAGGCCTGTAATTCCCAGCGTGGGTATACTGAGGGTATGTCTACACTGCAAAAAAAAAAAAAATATATATATATATATCCCACACGAGTAAGTCTCGGAGACCAACTGACTCAAGCTCATGGGGCTTGAGCTACAGAGCTAAAAATAGCAGTGTACCCATGTTCCCACCTGAGGCAGAAGCCCAGGCTCTGAAACCCAGTGAGGGGGTTGGGTCTCAGAGCCGGGGTTCCAGCCCACGTCTGAATGATTACACTGCTATTTTTAGCCCCTGGGCTGAGCCCCCTAAACCCGATGCAGTTGACACGGGCTCTGAGACTCGCTGATGGGAGAGGGGAATGGCAGGGGTTGCCGCATAGATATATCCAGACATACACCAGGTCTGCTCAAGCTAATGCCTAAAAATAGCAGTGTGGACATGGCAGCACGGGAGTCGGGCTAGCTTGCCAAGTACGTATCCAGGGGGTTAAGCAGGATTATACTCATGGGGCTAGTCTGAGCCATCACCCACACCACAGTGGCCACACTGCTATTTTCAAGCAGAGCTCGTGCATTTATGTCTGTGTGCACCGGGAATTACACCGCCCAGTGGCTGTGTAGATGTGCCGGAGCGTTAGAACCACAAGATGCTCTTGTGAGTACATACATATTCATACTCACGCACACCTGAGAAACGGACACAAGAGGCCCAACACTGTAAGTGCCACCGGCTCTCCCACGGGCCTTCAGTCTTGTCTCATAGGCCCAATGCTCACCAGCAGGTGTCATGGGCAGAGTTTCAGAGGTACAGCTACCCTTATTTCAGTTCTGGGGTAGCCAGTCCCCCTCTGGCGCCCGCTTAAAGTAGGATATAGAACCTTTTCCAAGTTGTGGAGTTTTCTCTCGTCTCCTTCTCCCCCTCCCCCAACCTTGTTACATTTTAACAAGACCAGTCATTGCTACTGCCACCTTGCTCTGTCACCTGTGTGCAGCTGCTCTGTTTGAATATCATAGCCGGCAGAAGGGGAAACAGAGCAGCTGCTGAGTGGACGCTCAAAAGAAAATAACCTTTAAAAAGAGAAGCCAAAAATGTCTCACCCTCTGGAACTGAAATGGAGGTGAGTAAGAATAATAATCCATCATAACATTTACACATTTATATAGCACTTTTCATCTTGAAGGATCCCAGAGTACTTTGCAAACTAGATGCACAGGAATCATTTCACCCAACACTGAAATGCAGCCCCTGCAGGACACAGCAGCTGTTTAACAACCCACAACAAATCTATACAACATATGCTACTCAGCCTTTTGGCTAAGATCAAGTGGAGCCTAAGATTCGGGTGTGATTTTTTTCAGATGGCTCCCAGTGACTCCCGTGGAAGCAGATTAGGTCTATGCCAAACACTTTGGAAATTCCCATCTTTAATATCTACTGTATCCTCTATTGGGGGATTTTAGCTTACAGTTGCAGGGGAACTGATCCATCTCTAACTTCTATGATCCAAGGAAGTTAAGAATATAAAAATTGACACTGCAGAAAAAAGTCTGTAAGCAGAATGTACTTCAACAGCAAAATTTAGCCTGCCCATCGTTTTCCACCCATGCTCTTTAATCTTGTTTATAATAAGGTCTCCTCTACTTATGTTGGTCAGCATGTGAATGAGAAAACACTAGGGATGACTTACAAGTGCAGCAGGAAGTAGTGTTGGTGATGCAGTAGGTAACCCACTTTCTTCAAAGGGCTTGTCTACACAGGAAAGTTATATCAATTTAAGGAAAGGTATGAATTTAAACACTATAGTTATACCAGTATAACACACACACACACACACAACATGGACACTCTTATTCTAGCAAAAGAGAGCCTTTTCCAGTTTAGCTTATCTTGCTTTTGCAGTTTAAGCTAAGCCCCCAAAAGCCGCTCTTATTCAGAATAAGTGTGTCCACCCGGGGAGTTATACTGGCATAACTTTAATGATTTAACTATGCCAGTATAACTGGAAAGTTACCCACGTAGCAAGTCCTTAGTCAGTACTAAAGAAATGTTCCAGAATGATGTTAAGGGATTAGGGTAACCAGATAATAAAAAACTGGGACGGGGTGGGTAGTAATAGGCATCTATATAAGACAAAGCCCTGAATATCGGAACTGTCCCATAAAACTGGGACATCTAGTCACCTTAGAAGGGACGTGGTGTTGCTGAAGGTGTTCTCTCTCTCAGAGGATACATAAAACTGAGGTCTTGGCCATTTGGGATCGTGAAAAATACAAAAGCACTTAATACAAAAGCAGGGATATTATCCAAACTGGAATTTGGCTAGAACACGGGGGCTAACTACACTCTGCAAGTCTAAATTCCCCTGCAATTTCCAGTGGATTTCATGTTCTTCATTATTTGTCCTAAACAATTCTATAGCACTACGGTGTTTTAACAGCAGCTGAACTCCCTCCCAGAGATGGCTGCACTGCAGTGGTAGGGAAAATTATTCTTATATACAGTTTATAAACTGCTGTGGAATCCTTCTGAATGAAAGGTACTATGTAAATGTAAAGATGTTTGATATTAGTATTATTATTCTTCAAGTACACAATGTAGTATCTTTTTTCTGTAGAGTCTACTTTCCGGCTTTAGCTGATAACAGAAGCACTCTCTCCAAACAGCAACTACTCTTCTGTTTCCATTAGACACGGCCAAGGTTCTCAATTAGCAATCAAGCAGTCAAAATCAAAGGGCTCAGAAGACTCCCTTAGATACAGCTTCCACAGAAATCAAGCTTTTGGATCCACCTCAACTTTCAGTGTAGAGCTCCCCTTTTCTTACCTCATCCCCCAATGAGAAATCAGCTAAGCCCTGCACCCCTACCATATAGATCACACACTCATCTTAATGTCCCACCTCTAACCCTGAATGCCGTCTGCTAATGATTCATAATACACACTGTATCCAAAAATGTTGAGAAGCAGAGCTTTTCTAGGAATGGACGTCAGCACTCAATGTACACAGCACATTCCAGTGACTTTCTCTCCTCCTCCCTCCCACCCAGCCTGAAGCAGCTACAGTGAATGCTTGCACTGTGGGCGTGAAAGAGACACAGCGGGCCAAATTCAGCCTTAGCATCAGCAGGCATAGCTCCCATTGACTTCAACAATAACTGCACCCACTTAGACTAAGGCGGATTTTCATCCGATGTGTTAGGGATGCGCCTGGAGTAAGCACTTGCCTGTCAATTTATCACAAACACTGCGCAGACACTTCCCTCCAAAGGAAGAGAAAACATGGCGATCAGGCCATCAAGGAGAGGACTGCTGCTCTGGAATCGAGAGCTGACACTGGATGTTACCATCAACAGGGGTTTCCACTGGTGAACTCTTCCCCTCTATCCCCCACTGGAATTTCTAGAGTCCAGCCTCACTGAAGTGTCTCTGCTGGCAAGCAATAAGGGTTGAGTGCTCTTGGAGTAGTGGTGTGAGTATGAGAGGGTTAGCAGAGTGTGGGTCTGTTGTGGGAAGAATCTTTCTCACTTCTATTTCTAAAGCAGGATCTCTTCCTCTTTGTCAGTGATGGTTTTACAAGTTTTCAAAGCACAGCTTCATGCAGCAATGGGAAAGGGGACTGTAGCCACTGCTTAACACACGTGCCCTCTCTTGCGCCATCTATGCTCCCTTATCCCTCTGTTCTTCTAGGTACCTGATCGGTATTCTATGCTACCTGTACACATTCAGAGAAGTTCCAGTTTCCCTACACCTCTACGACCTAAGAAAGGGAAATCTTGGCTCCACTGATTCACTTTTATCTACTTCATGGGATCAATATAGCTCATCAATAAATTAAAAGCCCCCAAAAACCAACATCAGAATTGGAATCTGTGAAATTATTACCTACTCATGTAGGGGGCATAGATAGCCCTAAGCAGAATGCAAGGGAAAATAGGGGGAAATTCCACATAAAAGTTTGCTGGGTTTTTTTCCATTTTTCAACAGAATGTCAATTTGAAATTTACCAACCAGATCTAGTGCCTAAGCAACTTAGTCACAAGCAACACAAAAAGAATTGGTCACTAAAGCAATAGAACCATGATATAATTAAGTTTCACATCTTCAGCAGACAGATCTTACCAAAATTTAGCATGGTGATAGTAAACTTTAAAAACGGGGATTTGAAAAATAAAAAGAGGAAGCCAGTCAAGGTGGTGTGGCTGAGCTGGTTAGGTCCTGAGATGGTGTCGCTGGGGTGTAGATATGTGGGCAGAGTTGGCATCGAGGTTTGTTGCATGGATTGGTTCCTCAGTTAGAGTTACTATGGTGCAGTGTGTCGTTGCTGGTGAGAATATGCTTCGGGTTGTCTGTGGGCGAGGACTGGCCTGCCTCCCAAAGCCAGTTCATTTGCAAATTTGCCACCATCAGCTCAGGATTAAACAAAGACTGTGAATGGCTCGCTAACTACAAAAGCAGTTTCTCCTCCCTTTGTGTTCACACCTCAACTGCTAGAAGAGGGCCTCATCCTCCCTGATTGAACTAACCTCATTATCCCTAGCCCCATTCTTGATTGCATATTTATACCTGCCTCTGGAAATTTCCACTACATGCATCCAAAGAAGTGGGTATTCACCCACAAAAGCTTATGCTCCAATACGTCTGTTAGTCTACAAGGTGCCACAGGACTCTTTGCCACTTATGCCTGTGTATAACTTTCCTCACGC